GCCAGCAGTAATTTCTCCTTGCTTCGCATCCTCACAGCGCTCTGAAACCATCTCTACTTAACTGGCTTAGGTCAACCACTGTGGATTTATCAGCTCTCTATTACATAGGTGGAGGCTGTTTGCTTCCGGGTATTTATTATAGGAGAAAAATCTGTACTTCGACAAGTGTCCTATATAGCAAAATTCAAAACAATAAATAAAATTAAATAAATATTTTTTTAAAAAAAAAGAAAGAAAGAAAGAAAGGAATTGCCCCCAGGTTATCTGATTCTTGTATTTCACGGTCGATGAGCTACTTTACAGCTCAGGAGGCTGTAGGCAGTTGACCGTCATGCGAAGTAATTCTGATACTGCTCATTCTGTCCCATCCAGGTACAGGTCCAATGGACTTCCTTCCCCCACAGGTGGAGGAACCAGTTTTGCTTCTTAGTGCATTTTTCTTTCCAGTTACTTGTAACATCTGCGCAGTTCGATGATCGATCCACAAATAGCACACGATTTTTAGCTCATGATCATTTTTATGTTTCTGTGAGTCATGGTATCATTCTTTTTTGAAATTTATTGTGCATGCTTGTTTGCTGCACGCCGTAGCCCGGGGCATGGCTCTTAAGGGTTATTGAGTGAAATGCACCAAGTGGCTTTCATGCTCTCTGGAGTGACTGTGAGTTTTGAAGAGTCAAAACTAGCCTCAGGGTTTTCAAACTCTTTATGCTATGACCAGGAGAGGGGATAACTTGAGAGGTTACGTATGTTGCTCAATGACATAAAAAACATTAGTGATTAAGCACAAGTCCACTTTTAAAAACTTATTGAGCACTTCTTGCAAATGAGGCCCATTGATAGAAGCTGGGGAGAGAGATGAAAATGAAATTGAAAAGATTTCTTTTTTTTTTTAAGAGGTTTTTGTGATAGGGCGCGTGCGCTCGCCAGACAGAGAGACAGCAAGTGAGAAATCACCCCCCAGGGGGGATGGCCACACCGCAATCCCTTCTCCTCCATTATACTCTCGGGATCTTGGGTACTCATGCACATGCGCCTGGCATGAGTTTTAAGCCACCAGGTCCGGGGACATGAACCGTGGTCGACTACGTGGGAGTCCAGCGACATAGCCATTACGCTAACTGCTGGTCCCGAAATAGAAAAGATTTCTGCTCCCCATGAAACTGGCTTGGGTCAGGGCAGCCTGCCGACTCCGTGGGAGTCCAGCGACATAGCCATTACGCTAACTGCTGGTCCCGAAATAGAAAAGATTTCTGCTCCCCATGAAACTGGCTTGGGTCAGGGCAGCCTGCAATTTTTTTTTTTTTTTAAATACTATATACCACCAATAACAGAAGAAAAGAAAACTCTGCTTATCATGATAAAAGTAGATAGAATAAGAGGTCTAACAGCCCCTTCCTGTACCCTGGAAGATCATCAGAGCTCCAGGGCTTCCTGGGATATGTCCACCCCACTTTGGAGAACCCTGGCCTATAAATGTAGGGCCTTTCCTTTCCCGTTCCTGAAGGCTTCTCCCTAAGCCTGCAGGAAGACACCCGGGACCAGCATCGTTACCCTCCAGGAGCCTCCATCCAAAGAAGCCAGAGTAAATGCCCTTCCTGGACCTCTGCCTGGGCACACCCCCCAGTTCAGGCACTTAGGTTTCTTAGAGAGCAGTTTCTTTTGCTCTCCTGACCCATTGATCCTGGGCTGGGCGAAGCCCCAGGAGATCACCTGACTGCCCCAGGACTGGAATTAGTCTGGACTGGGTTTGAATCCTGCTCAGGATGCTTTTGTGAGAGATGGCAGTCTCATACAGAGGCTGGTGCCAGACTGCTTGAGACTGAAGCCTAAATGTGCTATTTAGTAGCTGTGTGGCCTGGACAAGTATGTAACCTCTCTGTGCCCATTTCATATGTAAAACTACCACATAGGAGTTACGGAGACGGGGCACAGACATAAGACAAGTCAAGTGCTTGGAAGGGGACCTGGGACACAGAAAGCACCCTGGAAAGGTCTGAATTATCATTTCTTCCTTAAACTTTTGAGACCCAAACTTTCCACCTCTGCAAAATGGACATCACAACAGCATCCAGGGTATCGAGGGTTCAGTCGGCACGTTGTAAGGGCTCAATAAATAACAGCGGTTGCTGTTGTATTGTTATTGTTTAAGGAGCCTCAGAACCCCGGTGTCACAGAAGAGGAACCTGAGGCTCAGGTAGCCTGCCTTCTCCACGACCACACCCTTCTGAGATTATAGTAGCAGCAGGGTAGCTTCTTGTTAATGCACTCCACAGTTTACAAAGCACTTTCGCATCTGCCACCTCCCAACCTCACAAAGGTATCAGTTTCATCCCAGTTTTACAGATGAAGGATCTGAGGTTCAACCCATGCAGTTATTCCTCCACAGCCAGTCTCAGAAGGCTTCTCAACCCCAGGAGCAGAGAAAATAGGAATGCAGCGACTTCCAAGGCAGGAAGGCTATTATACAAAGACACCCCATCCCCAACTGGCAGGAGTAGAGGGGTGGTGTGCGTGCTCAGGAATCAGGGTAGAAACCACATCCTGTGCTTTGTCTCCACCCAGGAAGTGTCTTGAAGAGGCTGGGGTCAGGGGTGAGGCTGGCCACTCCTCTAAGTCACCCCAGAAAATACAAGAATAGTGTAGCAAGAAGCACCATTGAGACCCCACCCCTTTTACCTGCTGGGTGCCCTGGCCATGCCCTATCCCTCTAAAGAGGAAGGAACTAAGGCCCAGAGGGTAGGAGGTGAGCCCTGAGCACCCAGCGGGTCAGTGGCTGGACAAACGCTGGGACTAGGGCTGGAGCCTGCTGCAGTGCAGATGTTCCAGATCCTGGCAGCTGCCCAGCACTGCAGTCTCCCCACCCCGTCCCAGGAATCAGCCCCAGACGCCAGGCTGGACTCCCCGGGCAGCCTTCCCCTCAGGCAGCCTTCCCCTCGGCAGGCTCACATCTACACTCTGCCCTAGCAACAGCTGGGGCCCTTACCCAAGATCTGCAAATATTTCTGTATCCCTGCAGACCGCGCCTTGGGGACAAAGAGTAGAAGGCAAAGGAAGATGGAGTGACTGTCACAGCTGCAGAGGGGGGGAGGCCTCTGCCTCCCTCCCTCTCTCCTCCCCAGCCCCACCCAACTCCCAGAATCCTAAATCTTAGAACAGCTGAGTCCTTGATGCCAGCACTGTTACTGGTAGCTGGATCAGCAGACTTTGCCACAGATGGCACCAAAGGCCCAGAGAGGAAAGGGGTTTGCTCAAGTGCCCCCAGCACACCCAGAACTGAAATCCCACTTTCCACTGCGTCCCAGGTTAGTGCCCTCTGCATAGCCCGGGCCTGCCAGTTAGAAGGTCAGGGTTGACAGAGGCTGAAACTGGGGCGGTCATTCACCTTGAAGAGCTAAGCAGGTCAGGATATCCTGTCTGCCTCAATCTGGCCAGCAATGTGTTTTTTTTTGTTCTGGGGAAGGAGGTGTCTTGGAGGGAAAAGAGTAGGCTCTTGGGGGAAACCAGAGGCCATTCACAAACCCCAGAGACTTATCTCCAAATTTGGAATTGTCCAGTAAGACCCACCAGAGTAGAAAGAAAAGGAGGGGGAGGGAGGAAATCCTGGTTAGACTAGTCCTCTTAGGACTCCCTCTCCCTTCTCCTTTCCCTTGAAGGGTCTGCAAAGGTGGCACCAGGCTTCCCAAACCTGTAATCGAGAGTGCCGAACTTGTAATGCTTCCTTGGAGCGAACAAATAAACCCATTTCCACAGCCACTGTTTCCTCGGAAAGGTGCATTTATCAGCTCCAGACTGATAAGGAAATCAAGGCCCAGAGAGGGAAAGCCACTGGCTCAAGGTTACACTGGAAGCTGTGGTGGAGCTGAGGTTCAGATTCAGCCGATTTCACTCCCCAGCTAGTATTCCCGGAGCCACCTGAAGGCCCTGCGCTCAAGGATGGCCAGAGCTGGGTCTTTGGCCTCGACCACACCCTTCCTTGCGGCTTCTTAGACCGGATTCCAACTGTCCCCAACCCCGGGCTTTTAAAATCTATTCAGAACCCCTCCCTCCCCAAGTATGACCGGCAGGACCAGCAGCTCGCCCTGCCTCAGTCCCCGCAGCCCCGCCCCCCTACTGCCCCCCCT